ACACAACATCTTTCTTTGTATGTGGTGCTGAGGATCAAACCTGGGCCGCATGCATGCCAGGCAAGCGCACTACCGATTGAGCCACATCCCCAGCCCTACATAATTTTTTAAATGTCAACTAAATAAAACCATTGTTTTTGGTCTTTCCAAAAACATATAAAGAGAATTATTCCCATACCAACTTTTTTCTCCTATTAAGTATCTTTTTTTCTCTTGGTATAGAGGATTGAACCCAGGGCCTCATACATGCTAAGAAAGTGTTCTACCACTGAGCCACATCCCCAGCCCTGAGCAGCTTTTCATTCTTGAAATCTGTTCCAGCTCTGGGTAAACTCAGCACTATGGCGTTCTTCTCTAGAGCTGCTCCCATCCCATCCCAGTCCACACTCAACATGACCAGCAATAATTATACTTTTACCAGTGTGGAACTGGTGACAAAAACTGGCAGTGTAAAAAAAAAAAAAAGGTAGTTTTGCTGCCAAAAGAGGTAAACTCTATTTGGAGTGGGAATTAGAAATCCTGTGGCATGACAAGAGTCTGCAGCAAATGCAATATCAAACTGAATTTCACTACTAAAATTATGAATTCCACTAGTGAATAATGACTAATAAATTTAGGCTTCAGCAGCTTTTCAGAGGGAATCATAAACAAGAGTTCAAATATAATTTCAAATATAATTTCAACTTAAGACAGTAGTAGTGGCACACCCATTCACAACACATCAATGTGGGTAGGAAATCCAGTCCTTTGCCCATACTACTTTATATCTGAAATATTATTATAGAGTTTGATAGGGGCTGGAGCTGGGGCTCAGTGGTAAGGCGCCTGCCGTGCACGTGTGAGGCCCTGGGTTAGATCCTCAGTACCACATAAAAATAAATAAAGATATTGTGACCATCTACAACTAAAAAAAAGTTTAAAAAAAAAAGAGTTTGATAAAAACCTGACAAATTCTAATGTCGACGGATTCCACAAAATAATCATTGCTTTTCCCTTTTCTATGAGAACAACTGTTACCAGATTAGGCTTTGAGAGCTTTCCATACTAAAAACAATAAAGGATGTCTACAATTAAACTGTTTCATGGTCAAAGAAATTTGAAGGAACATTTGTACTATCCTTAATAACATACAATAAGGGCCCAATTGATAAAATTTCCCTCTAGAAATATTATAAAAGTCTCACAGTGCAATCTACTCATATTTTTCCTGATTTAGAACACAAGTAGCCAGACTGAGGCAGGTGAACTGCAAGTTTGTTTGTTTTGTACTTTTTATATCTATTTTTTTCTCTTTTCACATTTTTTTTACTGGTGCGTTTTAGTTGTACATAATGATGGGACTTTTTTGTTACATATTCATATATGTGCAAAATATAACAATATAATTTGGTCCATATTACTCCTCAAAACTTCCCCTAAGGACTGCAAGTTTGAGGACAAGTTTGAGGCTCAGCAACTTAGAGGAACTCTGTCTGGAAATTAAATTTTTAAAAAGGTCTGGGGATGTCGCTCAATGGAAGAACACTTGGCTAGCATACATGAATGAAAACACCAATACATTTTAAATATTATTTAACAGATTGTAGATTCTCAAATAGCAGCTTCTTAATCCACAGTAAACCTTCTCTCCCTAGATCCCTACCTGCACATATTCCCACACCAGCTCCTGGACTAACTGTGGTTTGGCTTTTTAAATTTCCCAGAAGGCAAAACTGATAGAATATAACAAAATTGGAAAGTGAGAAGGTCACTTGACTGACAGCATCAAGCCAACCACTCAGCATCTGCATCTCAATGGTTTAGCTATTTTTATTTGTCCCACACATAATTAGAAGTATGACTTAAAAACACATGCACACAAACTCTACTTATAGAATAAGCAGGGCTAGTAATGTTGGAAGTGAAAGTATAAGATTTTAGTCAGAAAACCTCAGTTTTCAATAAATTAATAAGATTACTTAATTTTCTAGTTATTGTGTTTATGTGATTTTCTGTTTGTTTTGGCACTGGGGATTGAAGCCAAAGATTCTTTACCAGTGAAGCATATACCCAGACCTTTTTCTTTTTGAGACAGGTTCTTGCTAAGATGCTAAGGGCCTCACTTTAGTTTCTGAGGCTGCCCTCAAACTTACAACCCTCCTGTCTCAGCCTCCCAAGTTGCTAGGCTTGGCATGCACTACCACACCCGACTACTTATAAGACATACAAGTCTAACATGCTTTTTAAGTGCTCTAGATTTGTTTAAATGATTCTGTGTTCCATCCTATAATAAATTCATGCATGAATCTCACCTAACAAAGAATTATTTGATGTTATTTAATATTCAGTTATGCCTTAAATGTTCAGTTACATATTTTATAGACAAAAAGACACAACACAGAATTGCTTTCAAATCTGGATATTCAGGAAAACCAAAAAACATACCCTTGTAAATAAGAAGTACTTACTTTAAAAAAAAATTATCTCTCCTTGATCATTCTTCTTCTATCTGTATAAATAAAAAAGTAACACTAAATGGACGTGTGGATAAAGTACAAGAGAATTTGAAAGCTGAATACAGAAAATGCTATGTTTCACTGAAGTACTGGTTGAATCTGACATTGTAGCCTTGAGTGAGTCACCTTCTGGGGCAAGTTCCCTAATTGTAAAATGAGAGTGCTATGTTAAATGATTCCTCAGGTTGTTTATTCTTTGAGCTACTTACAATTCAGTTTCATTGATTCAGTTAGCTATTAATAAACAAAACTCATATAAGACCCTCAATGTGAATAGGTATTACTCTTATTCCATAAATCAAGTTCTCTCAATTATAACTGTGCTCAACTTTATTAAAAGGCAAAAAAAAAAAATGGCAGTAAAGGACTGAAAACAAATTCACCAGTGCACAGTGCCCTGCTTGAGCCAAAGTGACTGGAGCATAAGAAACTCCACCCAGTCCTGGCTAACATCAAAAGAGCCTGACATTGCTCTGCCAGAAAATAAGCCCCATATTATCTAACCAGACACCAAGAGAACACATGGTTTGTAAGTATAGCACTTTTGACATTTGATCTTTCATTCTAACCACATGCCTGAAGTGAAATTATCTGGTGAGAAATGTTTTGAAATAGGTAAACTAAAGGTAGGAGAAAACTACATGACATGATGATAAAGCAAAGAATAGAATCATGGTGTCCTGACTACTGTCTCACCATGTGCTCATAAATAGTAAATAAGAATATATGATGAAGTTATAAGCACCTTCAGTGGTAGGTAGTTTACTTTAGAATTAATTACTAAATATATTAAGATCTTTACAGATTAGTGTTCATTTCTAATTTAAACAAAGTAGTTGCCAGATGTGGTGAGGAACACCTGTAATCCCAGCTACTATGGAGGCTGAGGCAGGAAAATCACAAGTTTTAGGCCAGCCTAAGCAACTTAACAAGACTCTCTTTTTTCTCCAAAAAAGAACTGGGGACGTAGCTCAGTGGGTAGAGCACCCCTGGGTCCAATCCCCAGTATTCCCCTTCCCCTGCCACCTGTCCACCCCCAAAAAAACTGACTAGTAAGTATGCTATGCTTAAAATGCAGTGTTTATGCCTTAGGCTTGGAAGGAACCCAACATCCCAGTCAGACCTAGAGACCATTTAAAATCTAACATGTTTAAAGGTATAGCCTACATCATAATATTTTCATATTCAACATTAGATTTCTTTTTTTAGTTTGCTTATTAACAAGCTTTAATCTACTAAATGATAACTTTATTTACCCAAATTTGGGGGGCAGGGTTACTGGGGGTTGAATCCAGGGGTGCTTTACCACTGGGCTATATATCCCCAGTCCTTTTTATTTTTTACTTTGAGACAGGGTCTTGCTAAGTTGCTGAGGGTCTCACTAAGTTACTGAATTTGTAATTCTCCTGCCTCAGCTGCACTGCTGTCCTCAGATTGATCTTTAATGAATTTCTTTCAGAGATCTATTACATATCAATCTAAACCTTATTTGTCTCTTTCAATCAACATGGTATTTCATTAGAAGTAAAACTAAATCTTCAACAAGGATCTCTTGAGGAATCAGTTACCAATTTACACAGTTCACAGGCTGATATTATCTTTGAGGCAAATCTGAATTACTCCTACTTCTCAGAAGGAGACCTACAAACAGCAACAGACACTCAGCAGGATCTCACATCCCTAAGCAATAAACTACAAACCCCTGAAGAATGTATTACCTTTCTACCCCCAGATGCCTCCCTATAGTTGCAAAGATAACAGCAGTACTAATAGGAACTGATGAAATTTCCAGACTTGACAAGGTTCTGTTCATTACAGGATTAGCAACAGGAAAGGACCCTTGATTACTAGAAGAGCTGAGGCCATCACCCAGATAAATTCCTACATGAAAGAACACACTGATACAGGTTTTAAAAAGTTACATTTCACTCCCAAGTAGTTCCCATAACAAAGAGTCCCTTTTCCCACTGCTGCCTTATAGAGCTCTGCCCTATAAATAGAAAAACACTGCAGACACATGCACATACAGAAAACCTGTATGACAAAGCTCAAAGCCTAGCTTTCTTACTTACATTAACTATCCAGGCAGCTTGTGTTTGGTCCTGACTGAATACATTTTTGGATCTATAAACAGGCACCAGTCTGTGACATTTCTGACCAAGTAAATTTAAATCTATTCCTCCAAGAAGAATAATCTACACCAGATACCTCCCACTGTTAGCCATGTGATGCAGATAGCATGTCTTGCTGAAGTCTGGTTATATGAGCCAAAACAAGAGATGACAATGACACAGCACTTACATTTCTGTTATAACTACCCTTAAAAGTGAATCTTCAATTTTATTTCAATAAAAATAATGTGAGGGCTGGGTAATATAGGACAGTTGGAAGAGTGCTTGCCTCACATGCACAAGGCCCAGGGTTCAATCCACAGCACAATAAATAAATAAATAAATAAAGCTATGTTACATTAAGAAATATATAAAGTGAATCTTAAGAAGATTCTCAATATCTAACACCTCAAAGTTTTGAAAAAGAGAAGGCATTTTTTTTAACTTTCCTATTTATTCCATTTATTTTTCCTCCCCTTAGTTAACATAGTAAAGCACTGAATTGGTCTATATCTACCCAAAATTATTTCTCACCATTTAAGATATCCAAAGACTTTTAAAAAACACCAGTTCAAATGACCTATGACTTATCACCCTAACTTTAACAGGTAAAAAAAAAAATGAGTTCCAGAGAAAACAAGTCATTTATAAATGAAGCTAGGACTATGGATCAGGCTTAGAGAAACCAGAGAATATAGAAACAGAAGTGGAATGAAAAAAATAAAGAAAACCTTGCAGTTTTGAAGTTTCTGCTTTTATCTGACACAATGACATCACCATACTCTAAATACATTTTAAGTATATCAACCTTACCTACATACCTATCATTATACCTACTTAAAGGTATGGAGGCAGTTAAGAAGAATACTGAACATTGAGAAAACACCCAAGTTGCCTAGTATGGTGACACACACCTGCAATCCCAACATCTTGGGGGGCTGAGGCAAAGGATCCCAAGTTCAAGGCCAGCCTCAGCAATTAATGAGGCCCTAAGCAACTTAGCAAGATCCTATTTAAAAAAAAAAAAAAAACTAAAGGGCTGGAGATACGGCTCAGTGGTTAAGCCCCTGAGTTCAATTCCTGGTAACGAGAAAAGAAAAAAAAAAGAAAAAGAAAAAAACTCCAGTTAATTTAAAAGTCCCCCAATTCCTATTAATGGAAAAAAAAAAAAATTTTTTTTTTTTTTAATTCTAGCAGCTCCTGAAGCTGAGGCAAGAGGATCTTGAGTTCAAAGCCAACCTCTTCAACTTAGTGAGGCCCTAAGCAACTCAGTGAGAACTTGTCTCTAAAGAAAAAATATAAAAAAGGCTGAGGATGTGGCTCAGTGGTTAAGTGCCCCTGGCTGGGTTCAATCTCTGGTACAAAAAAAAAAATTCAGGGAGGCAGGGATCTCATGAAAATCAAAAGGAGCTTAGTAAGAATGAGGGGATCAGGTGGTAAAGGGAGGTTCGTGGGGATTGACATTGGCCAAAATTATTATATTGTGTGCATGCACAAATATATATAATAACAAATTCCACCATTATGCACAACTATAATATGCCAATATAAAAATGTGGAAAGAAAAAAATTCAAATTCGGTAGGTGCTATCAAGGCCACAGGTACCTGAAAACCCAGTCATATCACCTACCATAATCAATAGCTGTCTATGCAGGGAGGGTCTCCCTATATTTTAGTCACATCTGTCATTTTGCAAGCATGTCATTCACATGACCACTGTACACCTTGCTCATATTGCTTCCACACCTGCATCTCTCTTTTCTCTCCATTGGTCAAAGTCTCCAACTCAAGGTCCAAATGGATTATCACCATATGTGATTCCGTTTTAGAATCTCCTAGTGCTATTCAGAACTAGTGTTATCATCTGTACTTGCATTGTAAAAGTACAGTCTGATCTGTACCTGTTAGTTGTATATAATAGTTTCTGTAAAATGCTAGGTCCCAAAGGGGAAGGACCATGCCTAAATGCTGTGTACATCCTCCCTGCCCTTAGATTATTTTACACAGGAGATGGCCAAACAATAAAAATCAATAACACAAGAGTCTAGCTAAATAAATAGTTCTATAATGATATAAAGAAAATTAATAAAAACTGAATCTAATTTAAAATTAATCAGAGGTTCTGAAACTATAAAAACTCTTCAGAACTCAAAAAATAAACAAAGCATCACCACTAATAAAGAATATTCACTTCATTCCTTCCACTTCCTAAACATAGTTTGTACCAAAGCAATCATTTTGCAATTATGGAAAGAAAACCAACAAGAAGTATCCAAATAAACCAGCTAGCTCTCCATGCTAGGCCATCTTATCGTTTATTAGGCAGAGTAATAAAAATAGGGGCTGGGGATGTGGCTCAACTGGTAGCACTCTGGCCTGGCATGCGTGCGGCCCAGGTTCGATCCTCAGCACCACATACCAACAAAGATGTTGTGTCCGCCGAGAACTAAAAAATAAATATTAAAAATT